TGTGACATCCGTCTAAAACTAACAGACTTTTATCAGTTACGCTCCCAACATTTCTTAAACCACCATGGCATTGTCAGGAATTTCAGTTGTGATTTGTCAACAAATTGAAAATCGGTAGAGCCGATGACATGTCCATTGAAAAAATTACTGCTGGGAGATCAGCGGAGGAAAATAGAGGCGCTATAAATACCAGTGTCAATGAAGCCGCATTATCTTAAAATCACTGCCATTAATTTGTCAGCAATACTGTTATTTTGTTGTTTTGTTTTTTTTCTTAATTCCGATACTGTTTGTAACAGAAGTGCGGATCATTTGCTTATTCAGCACTAGTATAGAATATGGATCATCAGGCTAGCATGCACAACTTTGCAGCTGGCATGAACAGGGTTTATATAACTCATAAACCAGAGCGAATCCATTGTCCAAAGTTGGACGGATGTTTGACCACACATTGGTACATTGTATATACATAAATTTAAAGGTCTTTCTCTAAAAATGTTCAGTTGTACAGACATCAATACTGGTATATCTTCTTGTACCTCAGAGTTTGGATGTTTTACTTTCATGCCCTTACACAAAATTAACATGGTACCCCACATAGTCATATTATACTGACCCTGGACAAACTAACATTAACCTGCTAAATTTGTAGAATATTGCTTTGTCCTACTTTAGAACAGTCCTTTCGCAGATTAAAGGGATTTTGATATCAAAATACAAAATTTGAACTACTAACTGTATAAAGCTTGACCAGATTGCATGGAAGTACACAGGCTGGCCTGGCTTTATATTGGTGGCAAAGGCTTATCACTTTTGGTTGCAGCAGGTAAATCTAATCTTTAGTGAAAACTGCTATATACTTAAGTGAAAACTTTTATGTACTTTAGTGAAAACGTCTATGTACTTTAGTGAAAACTTCTATGTACTTTAGTGAAAACTTAAAATTTGGGGGTTGTGTTCTGTACATATTCCAGTACTGTTAAATGCCAAAACACCAGTTTGGAGTGCATATTTTGAAAGACTTCCTCATGCAAGCAAGTGGTTTCAATCAAAATATTATGTTATTAGCCTTATAATCATTCTGTCTATTCTTTTACTGAAAATTATAAAAAATGCTTAAATTAAATTGAAAAAATTTCTTGATTGATTATTTGAAAAAAAATTAATCGTACAAGTCTTTCATGCAAGTCTTAGATAAAAGTTAAGATGCATCAAACTTGCTGATTTTCTTGAACAATTGCAAGGAAGCAAACTTTATGTTTCAGTAAGGCATTTGCAAAATATCTTTTTTACTGTTATACATTTAGTTATAGTTGTTTTGTATTTTTAATCTGCGGGAAATGAAAGTGATTAGCCTTTGCCACCAATAAAGTACATACGAGCAACGTCTGCGCATCCATGCAGTCTGACCAGGCTCTAGCTATACTGTCTGCTCACTAACACTCTAACTTGACACTGACCATGCTGAATAATTTTAATGGACTTGTTCCACTTCCATTTTAGAACTAGGGATATCATTTTGAATATTTAAATTTTGTCAACCAACAGTATAGAGCCTGGTCAGACTGCTTGGATATGCAGGCTGGCCTGGCTCTATACTGGTGGCAAAGGGTAAACACTATCGGTTCCAGCACTTTAAGGGTTAATAACCCCTGAATTAAAATGTTTGTAGCAGTTCTTACAGAAAACGTTCATGATTTTGTATAATTAACAAACAAAAAATGAGCCGCGTCACGACAAAACCAACATAATGGGTTTGCGACCAGCATGGATCCAGACCAGCCTGCGCATCCGCGCAGTCTGATCAGGATCCATGCTGTTCGCTTACAAACCCTATAACAAGTAGAGAAACTGATAGCGAACAGCATGGATCCTGATCAGACTGCGCAGATGCGCAGGCTGGTCTGGATCCATGCTGATCGCAAACCCATTACGTTGGTTTTGTCATGATGCGGCTCAAATGGAAATGAGATTGAACCAGCTCTAAGCAGTCTGCGGAGCAAAAAATAAAATGGCTTGACAAGTCAATTCAAGTAAAAATAAAAAAATCAGGAAAACCTTCAAATAAATGTTAAAATAGGTTAATTCCTAGTTTGAATCTTTTAAGAAAGAAAACCCCAAAAAACAGTGTATTGATACATGTATGTTGTACATGCATCACTCCACATAAAAATGATACTGTCAAGTGTTACTCTAATGAAATGAGATGTCTTACGTCACATTGTACAATTTTGTTCTTGGTGTCGACTTTCTCTAATTTCCCAGTGGTATGTTTTCTTTCCTCTCCCTGCAGTTTGTCAAGTCCTTGAAATTTGCGAAATGGTCTTCCTCACACCTCATTGGCAAAAAAGCAATCTGTGAGAAGCGGGATTAAATCTACCTCAGTCTAAGGTCTGTTTCCTTGTGTAAGCCAATTTGTTTCCCTTAGAAAAACACATTAATTTGTCTGGAGTTTATCACTGCCTAAATTAGAGAGGAAATCTAGGTGAGTGCAAAGCTTAGCTGCTGCCCTCATCAACTTTTGTTTTGGGTTCTAGACTAGAGTAATTTTATAATCTCTAAACTTCCTTCTCAAAGCTTTTGCTTCCTTGTGATATAGGATCACTTTCACTGCTGTTGATTCAGCTCTTTTAATTTAGTTTGGTTTAGTTTGATCTTTGAAAGAAGGATAGGAAGGACTGTAGACAAATCTCTTTGGGTTTTTTTTGTCCCTGTAAGTATCATTAAAACTGAATGCCTCTAGATGAAAGAAAATCAACCTTGAGAAAAATGAACTAAGATTTTCACAAAAGTAAGAATATTCACAATTTAGGAGGTATTTATATTAATAATGAATATGCAATTCATCACCATAATTTTTATTGCTAAAAAAATACAGTAAGGGCTATTTTTGCATATTATGACCTAAATATGGTGATTTTTTGTAGCTTTTAAGTGCGGATTTTTTCTTTGATCACATGACAATATTTTACTTTTTAATACAATTTTAATAATTTGATGAAAATTAGCATGAATCTGGAGGTATGCTGCTTTAAACAAAAAGTTGCCTGACAATTAAAATCATCAGTGGTTGTTTTTGTTTTACTGGTCATTCAGGATCATTGATTTTAATATGTTGAGTGTTGAAGCTACATGTTAGTACTTTGAGGAAGTAAGAAATGAGCTGTATCATGACAAAACCAACATAATGGGTTTGGGACCAGCATGAATCCAGACCAGCCTGCGCATCCACACAGTCTGATCAGGATCCATGCTGTTCGCTTACAAACTCTATAACAAATAGAGAAACCGATAGCGAACAGCATGGATCCTGATCAGACTGTGCAGATGCGCAGGCTGGTCTGGATTCATGCTGGTCGCAAACCCATTATGTTGGTTTTGTCATGGCACGGCTCAAATGTTGTACTTTTCATGTTACATGTATTTCATGAACAGACTCAAACAAACAAAGTACATCAATTTTCAAAGTCAACTATATGACAAGGCATTAGCAAACTTGGAGACATCTTTTAGATTTACATTTAGAAGTCACTGACAAACAGCCAACTGTGTTTGTGACATTATCCTGTATTGACCTCAAGTACTGGATGCAGGTGGTACACAGTAAGGCGTCCAAAGCAGCTGCCTTTACGGACATACAATGTAATGTTGATAGACAATCATGTTCTCATTTCTATCTCACTAGGCAATCTGTTATTTATGATATCCAGAATCCTAAAGTCAGTTAGCATTTTGAGTGTCACATTTGTAAACTCACTTCTGAAAGACATCAGGATAATAGAATTTTTAAGTAACTTCATACAATGATCATTAATATCAGAGATCAAAAGGTCAAAGGTCAGTGTCATTTTTAAAGGTCATTGGTCAATTTAAATTGGTATTTTTATCCAATATAAGGCATGTGCTTTTGACATTACTATTAGGTTTGCCCCTCTTTGCATCAGGATCTCTTGATAACATAAAAGGCACCTTTATGGCTGAGGGGTTTTGTTGCCTTTAAAGGTTGAGGCATCAGAATTGCAGCCATTCTTTATCCCTACATGATCATTAGAGGCAACTAAATGGGTTTGAATAACTGGAGTCTGTGCATCTCTTAGCACCAGCAGATGAGGTGGTTTTGACCACTGGTGTTGCTTTAAGTTTGTAACTCCTGTGACTAGCCATAATCATCTTCCTTGTTTCTGCACCATATAACCTAAAATGTGTTTGTGCTCAGTAAATTGGAACAAAACAAAAAAATATATCAAAAAAGGCTAAATATTATAAAGTATAATAAATAATTTTGATGGAAGTGGTTATGTTTATCAATGGTTATAACGAAATTGTGCACATTATTTTGATGATTTCCTCATATCAAAATTCTGCGTGCTATAGTAATGAAAATTATCAAAGTCTGGCTTTAATTTTGATGAATCCAAAATAGCTAGTTTAACTCATTTACTGGGTTTACTTGGCAACACTTTCACCAAAATCAACGGCTGATGTTGCCAGGAGTTTGGTCTGTAAATATGAGCCGCGTCATGACAAAACCAACATAATGCGTTTTCGTCTGTTGTACTGCAATGTGACAAAAGTACAAAAATTAGTTAACTTTTGTTTATGTTGTTGACTATACATGTACATGTATTTTGTCACATTGAAATATTGAATCAAAAAGTATAAAGTGAAAGACAAAGATTACAGCATTTTAGAAAATTATGTATTATGCCACTCATTTGAATTTGTGTTTGATTTCTGGTATATCAAAGCATTCTTGAGGTTTGATTTTCACTTTAGTGCAGGGCTTCCATTTGTGGAAGTTTAGGCTTGTGACTTCCAAAATGGAATGCTTTTCCTTCTATACCTATATAATGTGACTTCCAAGGTAAAACATTTTGCAGTCTCTGACTTTCAATTTTTTGGAACTTAATGGAAGCCCTGCTTAAGTGGATTTTGACAATATTACTTATAATATCTGATTAAAAGTGAATGATTATGAATTGTTTGTTTGTATATTTCAGATTTTCTAGTTGTTACAGCATCAGCAGTAGTATTAGCAGTAGGATCCAATGGTCAAGTGTTTGCCACATCTGCAATAAGGTATGGTGTACATATATTACATGTGCTTAGGCAAGAATAATTATGCCCCCCTTCAAAGAAGAGGGGGTTTGTTGCTTTGCATTTGTCTGTCGGTGGGTCTGTCCATCCATAGTCCAAATGTTTTACGATCAATAACTAAAGAACATTTAAACCTAGGAACTTTAAGTTTGGTATGATGATTGTACATGACCAGTAGATGACCTCTATTGATTTTGGGGTCAAAGGTCAAGGTCACATTGAATTTGTAGGAAACAACTGTTTTTGATCAATAACTTGACAAGCCATGTGTGGTTGGCCCTCAAACTTTGTAGGTGCATTGGATTTGGCAAGATAACCCTTATAAGTATTTGGTCAATAGGTCAAAAGTCAGTCAAAATGACCTGACCACATGACTAGTTGGCTGCCGATAGGGGGCATACATGTTTTACAGCCACATCTTGTTAAAGCTTAAAAGACATCTTGAACCTTTTATTAAAGAATTGAAAAGTATTTTGCTGTCATTGATAACAAATAAGATGCTCTTCTAGTTATGGTAAATATTTGGGCCAAATTAAAACAATGATGTGTATATTGCTGTTTATGTATTATTTGAATCCTAACACGTTCTCAACAATCTGTCATAAAACTTGGTATTTAATAGCAAACTTATTAAATGGAGTCATTGTTTAGGATTGCTTTAGGACCTCCTTAGGTCAAGGTCAATGTCACTGTTCTTAAAATAGGAAAAATGGTTTCCAGATAATAACTATGTTTAAGAATGAGCTATTGTAATGAAACTTGGCATTTAGCAAGCTTATGAAGATAAAGGTAAAGGTTGCTGGTGGGGGTATTTAGAATTATCACCTTTAGTGATAGCACTACTTTGCTTTATTATTTTTTCTGTTCATCAAAATGTTTTTCTTCCAAAAGCTTTACTAGCTGGACCCCGTAATGTGGTGAATGTTTGTTGTCAGTCTTCAGCCAGGTCAACCTGGACCACTATTTATGCAATTTAGCAGGTTTATTGAATGGTTTAATTTTAAAATTTTCGTGGTAATATACACGTTCACTGAAATTTACGTCATTTATCAAGTCTGAATTTGATATATGAGCCTGCATTTCCTGTCATTGGAAATTGTAATAAAAAAAGCTTTTACAGCCATAGGCTGTTTGCGTACCAGATATAAATCCAATATACTAACAGTAATTGTAGATTTTTCATCCCGTATTGTTTTTCATTTAATAGCTGCCGTCACCATATACAGTATAAGTCGCTACATACGGAATTGTCACTAATGTTTGGTTGTAATTGATCAATATCAGATATACCGTTGTTCATTGCTGATTGCTTGTCTCGGAAAAATAACAAAATGCTTTCAGATATATATCAATTTTGCCAATTACTCAGAAAAAGCATATTTCTGATAAGTCATTGACTTGTAAGTAAGAAATGGTTTAGTTCTGATAGTCAAGTGTGGGCCAGTTGTGTAAGAGTTGATTAGTTTATACAAATTTATTTTAGATTGATTGTGTTGGAAGCTATAAGCTTATTGAAACACTCTCAAATACGTTCCTGGAACCAACCAGTACTGACCAATGAATGTAAAAGTTTCTTGCTCAAGGAAACAATGGCTAGCTCCTGACAGGGTTTGCACCTACACGGTCACCAATCCTTACTAGATTACTAGACCGACGCTTTAACCACTTGGCCATGCCACCACTTAGAGTTGATTGATTTTGAAGATAAAATTTTGGAAAAAAACTCCAACAAAAACAAACAAAAAACCCCAAAAACACGCAAGTTGTTTTGATAAATTAGTGGAGCTATTTATGGTCTGGTAAAAGTACCATCTGCTGATAAAAAAACTGGTAATTTTATCTTTTAAACGTTAGTGCCTGCTGATTAGAGAAATGTAAATGTCAGCCAGTTGGTGAATATCAGGGGACTTGAAAAATAGATTGGACAATATGATTGAAAATGTATAGCTGATAATATAGATTGCTGATTGAAATAGAAAAGTAAATTGTCTGATTATCATAAAAACTAATTGTTAGCAATTTGTAAAAAAAAAAGTTATTAATTGTCACCAAAACTTTAAAGATGCACAGATTCAATCAAACCGAGTTTGCCATTTTCATGTAATTTTGCTGTTTTTAATGCTTCTGTCCGAGGGATCACTTTTTCCCAGATATTTAAAGGCCTTGTTGCCTACACTAAAGCCATTGAAATGGTTCACTTTAGCCAAAGTGCTATACTTTAGCTAAAATGCTATTCTTTAACCAAAATGTTACCTTTAAGCCAATTTAATGCTACACATCAGCCAAAATGATACTCTTTAAACAAAATTGTGTACTTTAACACAAAAAGAAATCCTATGATTTAGCAACAAAAAAACCCTGTAATTTTCACAGACTGATGTCATTTTAAATTGACAGAATTCTGCATTATTAAACATTTTTTTCCATATTTTCCATATTAAGAACTTAAAGAAACTATGGACTTAAAAGCGGTACAGTTTTATTTCAAATGTGCTTTGTTCTGTTTTATGCAAGACCTTTCTTGTGATAAAACATGACATAAGGGTTTATAAATAATATTTATACTTCCTGTTTATAAACTAACCAATATCTTAGATATTTGGTTGATACCTTCCAATGACATTCACCTGTACAAATAGATCTAGTTCAAGGTCGCTGAGGCTAAGAATAGATTTTGCTACTTATTACCTCATATTATGATAGACAAATATTGGGAATTCAATGTCTTATCAGGAATCAGGATAAGGGTCAAAATATGGGGATTTTTAGAACCCAGCTGGGATTATTACATGTATGACATAACATGGTCAAATTTTTAGATTTTCTCCAAGCAACAATGGGGAGGACCCTCCATCAGTTTTGCTGATATTCTTATTCATTCCAATTCTGAACATTATTAAGTTAACATTATATAATTATTAGTGTTAATTGTTTTTTCAGAGGAGTTCGTTTTTTACAGATATTACGAATGTTACATGTTGATCGTCAAGGTGGCACATGGCGACTTCTTGGTTCCGTTGTATACATTCATAGGCAGGTACGTACAAAAGTGACTGTTGTTGTGCTACTCCATAGTTACAGAATTGTTTTCCCAAAAATAAAATTATCTTGAAATTTTATGCCATAATGTGTATAGTAGAACCATTCTAAGTAACAATTCTAGGAAAGCGGTGTCAGTAAAGTAATTGATTGGTTATATAAGGCTTTTAAAGAAGGGCATGTAATATGCTAGTCAAAGCAATTGCTGTGCCAAAAGTTCAATATAAGTTTTATTTATAGTATATTCTTATTGGGAATTGTTGCAAAAATACATACATGTACAATGAACAATTTTATTTGATTGACAACTTTTGTAATATTGTCCATTTATATTGAACCTTGTGCATATATATTTGTACAAGTTGATGAATAAAGGATAAGATATTTCAACTTCTCAAATTGAATACACTTTAAAAAGACATAAATTAAATACTTTTTAGCTCGTCTGCCTTGAAGAAAAAATCAAGCTATTATGATCGCTGCAGTGTCTTCGTGGTCCTTTTTATTTTGTCCTTGTTGTCATGCAAAAACTTGAATGTAGTCAATTATTCAAACATTTTAAAAGTTATCAAAATGAAACACAAGGTGCCCCTGTGAGACAAGGAACATAGCTCTGAAAACAATATTTTTGGAGTTATGCCCCTTTTTAACATAGAATTTTTATCAGATAAGTGGTAACTCATGCTCTGCTCTTGTTTTTTCAGTTATTTTAAAAGAAATGACTGTTGTTATAGTGATTGACAACAAATGTTCAGAATAAAATATAAATTGTTTCAAATATTAAAAGACTACCACACTTCCTTAAATAATGATAAATTACTGATCAATTTCAAAGGATAATGATATTTAAAGAAATTCCTGTGTGTGATGTTGGTCATTGTTTATTCATGTAAAGAATAAGAAGTATAAGATTGGAAACAATCTTGGAAGAATGTAAAGTTGTTTTTTACTTTTACATGACATTGTACACTCTTCCCATTTACATGGATGGACTGAAAGTCTATTAAATTGAACCAACATCTTTCATCCTTTATGTAAAGCAGAAGATCATGTTGATATTTATGTTATTGCAATATGGCAAGAAGATTCATTTATCGTATCTCAGCATGCAACTACATTGTATTAGTTTTTATGCATGTGCATTGATTCGTACAATTCTACATGAAATAGATCTGAGGCATGTTTTTTTTTATAGTCCTCTCTTTTTGGCAGTCTTTTGATGTCGTCGCTACAGAATAGTGTTGACATATAGGTACCACTTCTCCATCCTCTGTCTGTCTGTCTGTCCGTCTGTTGGTTACTTCAATTTTGACCCTTAACAATTTCTTACAATAAGCTTTAAGAGCCTTTAAAATCTTTGACACAATAATACGTGGGAACTAAATTTTCAAATTAATCTGTTGAAGTAATGACTTTTAATCAGGGAAGGATTTTTACTTTCAAGGTCAAATATAAATTTTTCAGAAACTTTCTCCATTATTTTAACATGTGGCTTTTAAATTTTGAAAAGTCTATTTTTAAGTATTGAGAGATTTTGGCAATTGCATAACAAAATAAGCAGGCACATCAATGGCCACTGATCATGGTCTGCATTGTTGGCTAATCATTTGATACATATTTTCAAAATTTACCCTAATAATGTTAAACGGTTTTGACCATATTGAAAGATGGACAAGTCCATTTAAGATATTTAGTGAGGAAAAGCGTTAAATATTTTAAAAACTCGTTTTAAAACTATCAATAAAGACAAGCTTTAAATCTTCTACCTTGACCTTGAAATATGTCCTCAAGAATTGTGCTTGAAGATGTTAATATAATCTAATCAATTTGTCCTTTTCCAATGATATCACAATTCATGTTTTGCTTGTTATTTTGTTTAGAAAATATAAATCAAGTTTTTTTTGTGTGAATATCTAATTTGTATAATTACGGAGACAATATTGAAACATAATCACTTTCAACAATTCAGAATAATTTTCCAGCCTGTAATCAAATCCCAACATTAACTTTTTATGTGTTGCTTGTCACTCTTGCTTTGAGCTGATTTTAGCTTGTTTTGTGATTGGAATGAAGTATGTACATTTGAGATTTCCAATGTTTTTTCTAATCATATGCATTGTATTTAGTTTTAGTCCTGACATAAAATGGTTTTGTTTTTTTTTCCATTTTTTTCTTCTTTGTAGTTTAATAGTCAGCATTAATGAAATTAAATGTCAGGCGCGGGTGCGACAGACACAGTCCCTTCACAGATTTAATGAAATTAATGCTGATTTAAATTTCAAATTGCTGTTCACAGATACATGTAGTTTATATTAAAAGCCCATGAAATATTATGTTGAAGGTAAATTTTCCTTATAAGTGCAGATGTTTAGGTCAAAAGTTGAAGGTTATTTATATAAAGATTATAAGGGTTGAAGAGTTGTATTTGAGAACGAAGGAGGAAGGAAAGAGTATTAAAAATTTATTTTGACTTGTTCAGGCTGACCTATGTTTGTTGTTAAGGTTAAGGTCAATCTGAATGAGAATTCTAAATTAGTCAAAGCCTACATCTGTGTACTAAAATAAAGCAATTTTCCCATTTTGCTAGTTATACATTGGAGTCACCAGGTGGTCGGTCCAGCGGTCCGTTGCATTTTCCTTGTCCAGACCATTACTTAAAGACTACTTGTTGGAATTCAAAACAACTTCACACAATGGTCAAGCACAATAAGAGGAAGTGCAGTGCATAAAAACCATAACTCTATGTAAAGTATTTACAGAGTTATTGCCCTTTATTATTTTTCCATTGCTTTTTTCTTGTCCAGAACATAACTTGAAAACCACTAGTTGGATTTCAACTTCATACAATGGTCAAGAACATTAAGAGGAAGTGCTGTGCACAAGAACCATAACTCCATCTTGACTAGTCACAGAGTTATTGCCCTTCATTACTTTTTCTTGTCCAGTGCATAACTTCAAAAAACTAATGGTTGGAATTCAATGCAACTTCATACAATTGTCAAGCACATTTAGAGGAAGCGCAGTGCACGAGAACCATAACACTTCCAAGAGTAATTATAGAGTGATTGTCCTTTGTTACTTTGCCTTGTTGCAGAGCATAACATGAAATCTACTCCAGGTTTGAATTCAATACATGTGTGTACAATGGTCAAGTACATTGAGAGGAAGCGCAATGCACAGGAACTGTAACTCTTTCTTGACTCATTTCAGAGTTATTGCCCTTTGTTACTTTTTATTGTCCAGTGCATAACTTGAAAATTAATGGTTGGAATTCCATGTAACTTCATACACAGGTCAAGTGGAGTGAGAGGAAGTGCAGTGCTTAAGAACAGTTATTCTATATAGACTTATTACAGAGTAATTCAATGTAACTTTATTAATGATCAACCACAGTGAAAGGAAATGCAACATACAAGAATCACAACTATCTTTAATTGCCCACTCTATTTCAATTCTTTTACAAGGTATTCTGTAACTTCCTCATTTCCGAAGCAGTCTTGCTGAGGTATTAATCACATTTAGTGATAGCTCTAGCTTTTATTTGTTATACATGTCTGTACAAATGTACATGTACCACGATTACTCTCACTCAAACATCGCTTAGCCTTTTAGGGTATTTTCATTTTCCATCATGTTCTATAATATACTCAGTCAGTCCAAACAAATTGTAAATAATTGAAAAATATTCAAATGTATTTTCTGTCAGAAAGCAAAAAATAAAAAATAAATGTGAGTAATTTATCAATGATTGATAACATTGCAGAATTTTATTGCTCAAAACACATTCTGTTAAATGCCATCATATTGAATAATTAATGTGATGAATTAATATGAGATTCTATATATAGCCGTTATATCACAGTTTACTCATGGTGTTTAATTAAAGTGATTGGTCGGTTTAATTCCATGAAATTGTACAGAATTCTGGCTGTTAAAATATACAAAAAATGGGCAAGCTTTGATAAATAACAGGCTTGCTTGATCTGACAGTGAGGAGAAGCACAAATTTCCTATAGTTTTGCAAGAGGTGGGGTCATTGAAATGCATTTTGGCAAGCCAAAAGCTGTTTTTTTTTTTACTTGAACAAAATTTTAATACATTAGAATATCATCTAGTGTAGCTTATAGTACCATAATAATCCCTACTTCATCTTAACAACACTTTATATTCTAAATATTCAAAACCATACATCATTTTTAGGGAAAATTCCAAAATATGTAGTGACTCAGAATAGCAAACAGTGTGTCACAGGGTTAGAAAAATGTGCAGCCTTACTCAAACTCCAAATCAGGGACCCTCGGAACACTGTTCTGTGGCTCTACCATTACTTAGCTATATGGCAGTTTACACATGTTTTACCCCAAATAATGAACAGTTCTAAACTTTGACCAGTGCAGACCACAATCAGACAGTGCCAGTGTGCCGGCTCATCTTGGTCTGCACTGATCACAATGGGTTGATTCTGAGTCACTAACTAAAGACAGTATTTAATAATATCTAATTCTTGTATGTCTTTTTAGAGGGTATTTGGCAATGTGATGTTAATTTTTTTATAAAAGACCAATCAGTCAATGCATATATAACTTACTATATGATATCATGAATTTATTGACTGCCGCAGTTGAGACAATTTTAATATGCCAATGGAGTAAGGTTTTCATGAGAACTGCTATGTTAACAAGACTTTATCTATACAGTTCCATCATCATATAAAGTATTCTTTCATCTGTATATATATATCATCTGATGTGATCTTCTGGCTGGACATCTATGTCAATGTGAGGTTTCTATGAGGTTGACAAATAGCAAGAGACAAATCTATTTTTCAAGAATTTAAATTTATTGATGGGGAGTCAGTCTCAGGTGGGTGTGTAACCTGGAATAATGCATGGAAGAGCACCATGGGGTCTTCCTCTACCAGTAAAGCTGGAAAGTCACCATATGACCTAATACTGTGCATATGCGACGCAAAAGGTAGTCAGTAATTGCCTAGTAATTGAGATGTTTACCCCTCAATCCAGAGATTGTATGTTTGAGCTTTACTGGGTCATGACAGTGTTCCTATTTAGAGACCACAGTGCTTATTAAAGAAGCACGGTTTGTTTGTTTGTTTGTTGGAGACCATTGCATCTAAATGAGACATCAGAACTGGCTACTTGAGAGCGGTGTCTAGAAACAAGTTTAAGTTTAAACTTATATACATATATATAGATTTATTGTGATTAAAGCCATTGAGTCAGGACCAGTACTTATGCAATATGAGGAAAAATAATTGGGACCAAAACTGGGCTTCAAATTAATCAATTTAAGTAGTCTCACAATTATGCATGGACAAATACAGATTAAATATATAGTTACAGTGTAACCTCATCAGAGCAACTCTCCTCAGATTTATAACAACAGAGGTTTTGTAAATAAAATGATTGAGATTTGAGGGTAGTGGTGGCCTGGATGTTAATGTTCCTGCCTCTCGGCCCTGGGGTCATGGGTTTGAGCTCTACTCAGGTAACGATCATGTTTCTTCATATGAAACCAGTACTTGTTAGTTCTAAGTGGCAGAGCAGAAAGTGATTAATGTAAGTTGCAAGAACTACCCCTGCGAGAATTCCATGAATAATTCATGAACTGTTCATGAACATATTCATGGACAAGTTCATGAATGTGCATGAACAACAAATGAGACTTTTTTTCGTTCACGGACAATTCATGAATCAAGATATTCATGAACATGTTCATGAATATATGTTCGTTAACATTCATGAATATATCGATTCATGAATTGTCCATGAAAGAAAAAAAGTCTCATTTGTTGTTCATGCACATTCATGAACTTGTTCAAATGCACATTCATGAAATTGTTCATGAATATGTTCACGAACAATTCAAAAACTTCTCCCAGGGGTCATAATAATGTGACATCACAATCAATTTTCATTTAATTCTAAGACTGCTGATTTGTACCAGCCATAAAATGCACAATAGACAGTGTTTTAGTACAAATACAAAACACAACAGCCCATTACACAGGTAATGAAACTTGTTAAACACTGTGCTCATTGATTCCCTATGTACAAATTGAATTGTCATTAGAATTCACGACTTGCCAGTTTGCTCTTCAATTTATTTCTTTGACACAATTTTCCATAAGATTTTATATAGACCATTATGTAAATACATCACTTTTTCTTCATTTTGCTAAGTCATTGTTATTTATTCCATTTTTAAGTAAGTTTGCACCGAAAATTTGTTAAAACACATGTAGAGCTTTGTTTCTGGCGGCCATGTTGACTTTTGCATTATGGGTGTTACCAAGGTCAGCTAACTCTTGTTGATGATCAGTGAGTTCATGAACTCACGAGAGTTCATGAACTGAAATTTTTTCTAACACTAAAAAGTATTCACATGGGTTAAAATTGTAAAGACATTAAATTTGTTTTTAAAGTTCATGATTATTGTCAGCTTGTTCATGAACATACCAAAATGTTCATGAACACATCAACATGATCGTGAACAGACATACATATTCATGAACTTGAATGTTCATGAATATTTGTTCATGAACATTTCTGCCAAGATGATGAACAATTGAAAGATGTTCATGAATATTCATGAACTGTTCATGAAAATTCATGAATTGATGAACATGCTTTCGCAGGGGTTGTTTCACAATCGAGCTAAAACGAATATGTTTAAACTAAATAATAGAGATTAGCTTTTGTACTATAAATTGTCATTTTATATTTTCAGGAACTTATTACCACTTTGTACATAGGCTTTCTCGGGCTCATCTTCTCTTCTTACTTTGTGTATTTGGCCGAAAAAGATGCAGAGCCGGACTCTGGATCTAAGTTCAACAGCTATGCAGACGCCCTCTGGTGGGGGGTTGTAAGTATATACATTTATTATATAATTATGAATTAAATATTCAGAAATATTGATTAAATAAAATGCGTTTTTTCATTTTCTATATTTTCACTGTAAAAATTTATTTTTCATTGCAGTGAAACATATTTTCCGTATTTTCACTGATGTCTTGTCACATTGCTTTCTTCTAAATTCAGCCAATTCACATAATTTAAGGGGAATTAATTTTTTAAATTGTATTGTCAAAAAAAATGTTTTTTCTATAACTACAGGATTTATTTTCATCCCCTGGTAACTATGAAAATATCATAATTCATACCATTCAATAAAAATATATACAGTATTTATAGAAAAACTTAAATATCCTTTATTTATGCCTCATTGTTATACATTGTACTTTCTTTCTTATTTTTAAGTTGTTAAATAAAACTTTAATCTGTTTAATTTGTGTAATGGATGTGCCAAGCTTTGAATTTAGAACAGTCCATTCTAAGTGGATTTCACTATCAAAATACATTTGAAAGAGCCTGGTCAGACTGCACAAATAAATATGGAGGATGGCCTCTCTTTGTTCAAGTGGCAAACGCCAATCTTTTTTTTGACGGAGTAGGTAAATAATTAGCTTTGGAAACAATGGCAGATGCTATATTTTAGACATTTAAGGCTAGGTTGTAAATGGTCGGAAATCATGTTAAAATTCAGACTGAGGGCCTAGTTGCATACATGCGTATTAATTTTGGTCTTTGATATTTATTAAGTGCTCAAAGTTCAATCAGTAAGTGCTCAAGAGTTCTATGTAAAATATAGAAAATTCAGTGTATTGTTTCAATGTGTTTGTATGAAACTCTCAACTGCATATTTCTAACATACCCTTTCACAATACATGACCAGATGTAGTTAGCATTTATTATCATCTTGTTAGCATGTACAGAACTATTTATCTGAGAGGTTATTTCTAGTCCATCAATATCCATTCTCTTTAGATTATTGGTCAGAAGTTGACAATCCTGGCTAATGTCACGGAGCGTGATAGCATATTGTCACACAACTTTCTATTCTCATGCCTAGAATCAATTAGTATAGGGTTTCAAAAATAACAACAACAAAAATGTCAGAAGATCCTTAACACTAATGTGATCAGTTATAGTTGCTTAGATCACTAGAGTGCTTGATCAGTAATGCAAGAATTTTGTTGCTTAGATCACTTGAGTGCCTGATCAGTAATGCAAGCATTTTGTTGCTTAGATCACTTGAGTGCCTGATCAGTAATGCAAGCATTTTGTTGCTTAGATCAATGTGTGCCTGTCTGATCTGGCAATAGTTGGGTAAGACAGGTATTTGTTGCTTTGATCACTTGAGTGCCTAATCTAGCAATCACTGGGTAAGCCAAGCATTTTGTTGCTGAGATCACTATGTGCCTGCCTGCTCTGGCAATAGCTGGGTAAGAACCGCATTTAGATGCTGAGATCACTATGTGCCTGTCTGAACTGGCAATAGCTTGGTAAGACCAGCATTTTGATGCTGAGATCACTATGTGCCTGTCTGATCTGGCATTTAATTAATTTAGCTGGGTAAGACCAGCATTCATTGCTTAGACCACTGAGTGCCTGATTTGTAAGACAATCATTTTGTTGCTGAAATCACTACTTGTCTGGTCTGGCAATAGCTGGGTAAAACAAGCATTTGTTGATTAGATCATTGAATACTGGATCTGGCAAAAGCCGGGTAAGACCAGCATTTGTTGCTTAGATCACTGAGCGCCTGGTCTGACAATAGCTGGGTTTTGTGGCTGAGATCACTACATGTCTGATCTGGCAAAAGCCGGGTAAGACCAGCATTTGTTGCTTAGATCACTGAGCGCCTGGTCTGACAATAGCTGGGTTTTGTGGCTGAGATCACTACATGTCTGATCTGGCAAAAGCCGGGTAAGACCAGCATTTGTTGCTTAGATCACTGAGCGCCTGGTCTGACAATAGCTGGGTTTTGTGGCTGAGATCACTACATGTCTGATCTGGCAAAAGCCGGGTAAGACCAGCATTTGTTGCTTAGATCACTGAGCGCCTGGTCTGACAATAGCTGGATTTTGTGGCTGAGATCACTACATGTCTGATCTGGCAAAAGCCGGGTAAGACCAGCATTTGTTGCTGAGATAACTGAGCGCATGGTCTGACAAAAGCTGGGTTTTGTGGCTGAGATCACTACATGTCTGATCTGGCAAAAGCCGGGTAAGACCAGCATTTGTTGCTTAGATCACTGAGCGCCTGGTCTGACAATAGCTGGGTTTTGTGGCTGAGATCACTACATGTCTGATCTGGCAAAAGCCGGGTAAGACCAGCATTTGTTGCTGAGATAACTGAGCGCATGGTCTGACAATAGCTGGATTTTGTGGCTGAGATCACTACATGTCTGATCTGGCAATCGCTGGATATGACAAGCATTTTGTTTACTTGCGATATAAGGGTGGTAATGGAACCAGACTACTTCCTATATAAGTCAAGCTCTTAATTTTCTCATGTAAAGGAAGTCTATTCCTGACAAAATTTATGACTTGTTTATCACAGCATATTTGATGATTAAGCTCTTCATTTAGAGTAGTTAATGATCTGTTGTAAAGCTTTATATTAATATATGATTGATTTATGAGCTTTTGATAATTAGCCATACAAGCTGTCTGATCATGGTCTACACTATTTGCCATTCATTGAGTAGTTATTTTGAAAACTTCCTTAAAGGTAATGAGTGGTTTTGTTAAAGACATGTGGCTTGGATAGAGTTAATGAAGAGAGTTTGTAGAATAAAACAATGAATAATGTAAATTCAATAGTGTAAGAAAAAATGAGCTTTTGACAATCTAGATTCACTCGTGTAAGAATAAATAAGCTTCTGATACTGTAGATGATTTGTGAATGTAAGAATAAATGAGCTTTTACTCATGTAGATGATATGTGAATGTAAGAATAAATGAGCTTTTGCTCATGCAGATGATTTGTGAGTGTAAGAATAAATGAGCTTTTTTTGTAGATAACTATGGCCCTGGTTGGTATTGCGTTTGGACCACCTTAGGGGTCAAGTTCAAGGTCACCATTACTAAAATAAAAAAATGATTTACTATGACAATTATGACAATAACTAGAATAAGGAATGAGATCTTGTAATCAAACTTGGTGTATAGCAAGCTGATATGAACACTCTGTATTGCATTTGGGCCCCCTAGTCAAGATCAAGGTCATCGTTACTAAAAATGGAAAAAGGTTTTCCAGGCAATAACTAGAGTTAGGAATGAGGTATTGTAATCAAACTTGGTGTATTATTATACTGTATAGCAAGCTTATATGGAAACCCCAGTTGGTATTGCAATTAATTGAAATAATCCTTTGTACACATTTGATACTTCATTTATTTTAGGTTAAGTTCAAATTTTTCTTCAGATCACTTGTTTTTCAAAAGTCAAAATGGCTTAGCTCTAGTTTGTTTTGCTATAAATGAATGGCCGATATAATAGTTAACACATAACAATATCTGATGATAGGTAATCCCTAGAAATTCTAGTAAATCCCTAGTTTTCGTAAAATGGAAATAAATGTCTATGCTCATTTGCAAAATTATTGATCCCTTAGCAAGTTCACCCACTGAATTTATAAAAGTATAACCTAATGTCAGATCATCCACTTGTAAAATTATAAGCATGTTAATAATAGACCCATATAAAAATTTGAGCTCCAAGTAGAAATATCTCTGTACATAGGGACATTGCAAGTCATCCAATAGAATTCCAATAGAATAGTTCCTGATATTTGATCCCACGGAAATCTCTTTAGTAATTATCTATGCCTTAGTGATAACCTTTTTCAGTGTTGTATAATTTAAATAGGAGTTTTTTTCATTAACGATTCATTGAAATATGACCTTGATAAATGATTTATAGATTCAAACCTCTTGATAAATGATACTTTCAAATTTGACATTTAAGAAATGAACCCTTTCATAAAACTCTTCCTGGAGAAATCATCCCGTTAACCCACCTTCACCTGAATTTTGTGTTGATAACTTTTTCTTTGGATTACATATATAACAATTCTTTGGAAGTTAAAGTGATTCCAGTATAAAAAATACGAAAATACGAATGGCGGCATGGCCGAGTGGTTAAGACGTCGGACAAGTAATCTTAGGATTGCTGGCTGTGTGGGTTCTAACCCCGTCAGTGGCAAGATGTTGTTTTTGTGTGGGTTCTAACCCCGTCAGTGGCATGCTGTTGTTTCTGTGTGGGTTTTAACCCCGTCAGTGGCATGCTGTTGTTTCTGTGTGGGTTTTAACCCCGTCAGTGGCATGCTGTTGTTTCTGTGTGGGTTCTAACCCCGTCAGTGGCATGCTGTTGTTTCTGTGTGGGTTCTAACCCCGTCAGTGGCATGCTGTTGTTTCTGTGTGGGTTCTAACCCCGTCAGTGGCATGCTGTTGTTTCTGTGTGGGTTCTAACCCCGTCAGTGGCATGCTGTTGTTTCTGTGTGGGTTCTAACCCCGTCAGTGGCATGCTGTTGTTTCTGTGTGGGTTCTAACCCCGTCAGTGGCATGCTGTTGTTTCTGTGTGGGTTCTAACCCCGTCAGTGGCATGCTGTTGTTTCTGTGTGGGTTCTAACCCCGTCAGTGGCATGCTGTTGTTTCTGTGTTGGTTCTAACCCCGTCAGTGGCATGCTGTTGTTTCTGTGTGGGTTCTAACCCCGTCAGTGGCATGCTGTTGTTTCTGTGTGGGTAACCCCGTCAGTGGCATGCTGTTGTTTCTGTGTGGGTTCTAACCCTGTCAGTGGCATGCTGTTGTTTCTGTGTGCAAGAAACTTTACATGCATTGCTAAGTACTGGTTGGTTCCAGGAACGGATTCGAGGTTTCATTTTAAGCTTATAAATAGCTTTTAACACAATCAAACTAAAATAAATTGGTATAAACTTAATTAAAGATACCTAACTGGGTTATTATCATTAATGACCCTGGTCAGACGTCATGAAAATACACGCTTAGTCTGTTTCCACTTGTGTTGAAATCATCAAAATCATGAAATCATGTTTGGTTTGAGCAGGCATAGAATTAAATTTTCACATCTTGATGTAGAATGATCAATTCTTCGAAATTGGATCTTTGCTATTTGACCTAATCGCAGCTGAAAAATAAATTTACAAGTTCATACATTTGTTATTGATTACCCACGGTATATATTTCGTACATATATATTCCTTAAATTGTGTACATTGTGGGTAAGCAATGATACACACATACTTATTTTTGTAATTTTATTCAAATTTACAGCAGTCAGAACATGACATGATTTTAAATATGATTTCAGATAACAGTTACAACAATAGGTTATGGTGATACAGTTCCTCAGACGTGGATGGGGAGAATTGTTGCCTCATGTTTCTCAGTGTTTGCAATATCATTCTTTGCTCTTCCAGCTGTAAGTACACCATGTATATCTTTTATCCTCATTTTATCCATCAGTATGTGCCCTCCTTTCATGTCCAAGTGATTCGTGTAATTTTTAGCTCACCTGTCACAAAGTGACAGGGTGAGCTTTTGTGATCGCTTTTCGTCCGGCGTCCGGCCGTCCGTCCGTCCGTCGTCCGTCCGTCGTCCGTCGTCCGTCCGTAAACTTTTGCTTTAAATGACATCTCCTCATAAACCACTGAGCCAATTTCATCCAAACTTCACAGGAATGTTCCTTTGGTGGTCACCTTTAAAAATTGTTCAAAGAATTTAATTCCATGCAGAACTCTGGTTGCCATGGCAACCGAAAGAAAAATCTTTAAATATCTTCTTTTAAACAACCCTAAGAGCTAGAGCTTAGATATTTGGCATGAAACATCTTCTAATGAGTGTCTACCAAGTTTGTTCAAATAAAAGCCTTGGGGTCAAAAATTGGCCCCGCCCCCGGGGGGTCATTGATTTTCCCTATATGCATATAGTAAAAACTTAAAAGATCTTCTTTTAAAGAACTGTAAGAGCTAGAGCTAAGATTTTTGGCATGGAACATCTTCTAGTGAGTGTCTACCAAGTTTGTTCAAATAAAAGCCCTGGGGTCAAAATTGGCCCCGCCCCGGGGGGGTCATTGATTTTCCCTATATGCATATAGTAAAACACTTAAAAAATCTTCTTTAAAGAACTGTAAGAGCTAGAGCTTAGATATTTGGCATGAAACATCTTCTAGTGAATGTCTACCAAGTTTGTTCAAATAAAAGCCCTGGGGTCAAAATTGGCCCCGCCCCAGGGGGTCATTGATTTTCCCTATATGCATAAAGTAAAAACTTAAAAAATCTTCTTTTAAAGAACCAAAGAGCTAGAGCTTAGATATTTGGCATAAAACATCTTCTAGTGAATGTCTACCAAGTTTTGTTCAAATAAAAGCCTGGGGTCAAAAATTGGCCCCGCCCCAGGGGGTCATTGATTTTCCCTATATGCATATAGTAAAAACTTAAAAAATCTTCTTTTAAAGAACTGTAAGAGCTAAAGCTTATATATTTGGCATGAAACATCTTCTAGTGAATGTCTACCAAGTTTGTTCAAATAAAACCCCTGGGGTCCAAATTGGCCCCTCCCCAGGGGTCATTGATTTTCCTTATATGCATATAGTAAAAACTTATAAAATCTTCTTTTAAAGAACCCAAAGAGCTAGAGCTAAGATATTTAGCATGAGACATGTTCTAATGGGTGTCTACCAAGTATGTTCAAATAAAAGCCCTGGGGTCAAAAACTGGCCCCGCCCCGGGGGTCATTGATTTTCCTTATATACATAGCAAAAACTTAAAAATCTTCTTTGAAAAAACCCAAATAACTAGAGTTTAGATATTAAGCATGAAACATCTTTAAGTAAATATCTACAAAGTTTGTTCAAATAAAAGCCCAGGGGTCAAAACTGGCCCTGCCAGAGGGGTGTCATTGTTTTTTACTCTATGTGTATAGTAAAAACTTAAAAAATCTTCTTTTAAAAAACCCAATGAGCTAGAACTTAGATGTTTTGCATGAAACATCTTCTTATGGGTGTCTACCAAGTCTGTTCAAATAAACAAATAAAAGCCCTTGGGTAAAAATTGGGCCGGGGGGGGGGGGGCTATATACAGGTGAGCGACCTCAGGGCCATCATGGCCCTCTTGTTTTGTGATTCATGCTTCCAAGGGGTCACCCTTATTTCCAGATTTTTATGATCCCTCTGTCACGTTGTCTGTCCATAAACTGACAAAGCAGTGGTATGTTGGGCATTCAAGTTCTTATGGGCAATTTTTTTGTTCCTTTTTATATGGCGGAAAAAATTCTGCATAATTATAATTTTATACATTTCGTCGTTCTGTCTGTTAGCTGTTTTCATGTCCGGACTTTATTTTTTTTAAACAGGTGAAAGGAAAGTTTTATGAATCAATAACATGTAGATAGGGTAAAAAATGGTTCCACATTGGAAGTTATATAATATCATAAGGATAATTAAGATAAAACATTTTTCATTTGGGTCTCTACCCTTATTGAAAGATAACTCAAACAAATTTACATTCAGGCATATTGCTCTTGTTAAAAGTTAGTCTGTCTGTATAGTGCCTAGTCATACTGCATGATGTTCAGGCTAACCTGGTTTTATACTGGTTGCTAAGGCTAATCTTTTTAGGTCACTTGAGCTTGCTCAGGGTGAGCTTTTAGGATTGTTGAATGTGATCCGTCCACATTTGTTCATAAACACTCTATCAGTGTTTCTGCGTTTTTGCCTCAATCATCAAACTTTGCCAGGTACTTGTCTAGGTAATTGCTTGGATGAGTTCAAACACAGGTCATCTCGGATGAAAACGTAGGGCACAGGAGCTAAAAATAGAAATATCTTGTTAACACTCTAGTGGCAACTGTTTTGATCAAAATATCCTGGAAGTTGGTCTGAAAGTTTGTTTTGATGATTTCTAGGTCAACTTTGAATATAGGTCACCTGGGGTTAAAAAATAGGCCACACTGCCTAAATATGGAAAAATCTTGTTAACACTCTAGTGGTCACATTTTTGACTCAATTGTCCTCAAACCTGGTCAGGATGCTTTCTAGGTAATTGCTCAGATGAGTTTGTACATGGGTCATCTCTAATGAAAAACAAAGTCACAGGAGCTAAAAATAGAAAAATCTTGTTCACATGCTTGTGGCTACTGTTTTGATCCAAATATCCTGGAAATTGGTCTGAAAGTTTGCTTTGATGATTTCTAGGTCAAGTTCGAATATTGGTCACCTGGGGTTAAAAACTAGGTCACACTGCCCAAACAGTCTAGAGGTCACATTTTTGACTCAACTATCATGAAACTTGGTCAGGATGCTTGTCTAGGTAATTGCATGGATGAGTTTGATGGGTCAGGTGAGATCTAGGGCCATTTTATCCCTCTTGTTTTGGTTACAGCAGGTTAAAGGTCAAAGATCATCTCCTGACTACATAATTATGATATAAAGGAACTCAAAGGTCAAAATTCCTTGTTCTAATGTTTATAACCTTGTAGGCTCAGGCAAGTTTTGATGCTTTGAAGTGATTTGTTAAAAGGATATTTTTTTGACTGCCATAAATGGCTGATATAAGTATGGTTTTGACTCTTAAACTCCTCCAGGAATTTAATGTATCCATGCCGTTGATTTGCGGTGTGGCCGAATGGTTTACAAGTCAGACTGGGTTCAAACCCTGTCAGCGGCAAGGCGTTGTTTCCACGAGCAAGACACTTTACACTCATTGCTTAGTACTGGTTGGTTCCAGGAACAGATTTTAGAGTGTTTTAATAAGCTTCAGTAATAACTGATCAACCCATGCAGCCAGTGTAGACCAAGATAAGCAAGCACATTGTTGCTGTTTAGTAATGGTCTGCACTAGCTGTTTTCAACTTCTCCCCATAAATAATGAATAGTTTTGTTGAGATTGACAGATGGACAAGTTTAATTAAGGTATTTAGCATGGTAAGTATTAAAGGTAGCAAGGGGTTACTTAGTGCTAATTATGAGATTATATGATAAATTTACATGTATATAATAGATTAATTCTATAGCATAGAAACTGTCAGGCCAAAGTTTTGAAAAGAATGAGGCTTTAATGTTGTCAATGACTACTGTATTATTCATGCAATAAAATTTCTTGCATACCTGTATGTTTTAATGTGCGTCTGACAATTAACAGTTCTAAGGCCTTAATTACTCGCCATTTATTCGCTAAAATCAATTAAATGATTGCGTAACTTCTCATTTCCATCGTAAAACAAACTAACAAACTGTATAGATCTTCATTTTAATTAGAATATCAAACATATTGTTATTACACATATTTACATGAGATGTTGGGTAAAATAATTAAACTCTTAAACAAATAAAAAAACAACTTAATATTTGATTAGAAAATCTATCTGTCTGCGCATCAGTTAAAATGATAATAGTTTACAGAACAATGTGTTGCAAATGTCTTCCTGAAATGTTAACAGATAAGAAATATTGCGGAAAATCTTGATTTTTTTCTTAATATTTGACAACATGCAGTAATTTTAGGAATAATAATCAAGTTCATGGTTATTCAAAAATGAATCTTTTAAAAGGAGACATGGTTGCATAATGTAGGGTGGGCAAATAATACTCATGTAGAATGATGGGTTGACATATTATTAGTGTATGAAAATATGATGATCAGTATATTAAGGTGGGGCTAATATAGGAGGGGCCAATGTCATGTACACAAGTACAAAAATAGCCAATGTGGTGTATGTAGGAGGGGCCAATACAGTTTAATGAGGAAGGGTCAAGGTCATGTTCATAATTACAGGAATAGCCAATGTGGTGTATATAGGAGGGTCCAATATATTGTAAAAGTTAGTAGGGGCCAATATGTTGTATAAAAGAAGGGCCAATGTGCTGTATAAAGGAGGGGCAAATATTGTGCTTTAGTGATGGCTCATTGTAGTGCATAAACGACGGGCTAATGTGGTGTATAAAAAGGGAGTTAATGTAAGAATGCTATAGAGGGATATAACTAGCAATGCCTTTATTTTTAGTCCATTAGTAACATTATGAGCTAATAATAATGGGATCATTTATTCAGGTCCAATGGCCCTCACCTAACAATACCAATCGTCTTTTGGATAAGACATAAAAAACTAAGGTCCCATGTATTTTCTTGTGTTCTACACTGGGCACGTAAAAGAATTGGGGTTGCCTCTGGAGTGGGGAAGCTGCTGTTTCATGTCCTAAAGAAAAACAACTAACTCGCTGGCGGTGTTGATTTATGGGAAACCACACTAACCAGAAAATAAATCAGAATTATAAAGAAGATGAAATATTTTAAGTACGAGTATATTAACACTTCAATCTCATTAAAATCATATCCTAACTGTGGCTCCACTAAGCTTCGATCGTAACGAAGAGAATAGGAGCGAAAGCTATGATCTGATTTAAATGAGATTGATTAAAACTTCTGTTTGCAAAAATCTGAACAATTTAAATTCAAAGTAGAACTTATATTTTGTTATAGGATCTTGAAAATTTATTAATCCATGCAGACTTTATCAATAATGGACGTATTGGTTAAATTCACATATAGAAATATTATCCTAGAATTTTACTTAATTGAATTGCCAAGCAGTATGAACAATACCCCTGTGTGGGATGATCACATTAATAGCTTATACAACATAGTTCCTGAATTATATGTACATAGTTTTTATATAGCGCTCATGTTCTTTTTTTTACAAGTCCTTTATACAGCATTGAATGGATGGAAAATTTAATATATCAAATTTTTTTACTTTATATAATGAGATCATATTGTATCATATTGATACGAGATCATGTGGGAATTACGTTAGTGACATCTCAATCTTATTAATTAAGTTAACATTGATGGAACCGTATTTCATAGCCCGAGTTTTTATGAATCGTGTCAACCTTGGCGACCCTTCTCTATGTATTTCCCACCAATTCATTACGTAGTTTTGAATGGGTGAATTGGGATTGTGTTGAATGGGAGCGATTGTCTTCAACAGGTTTCTATGGAATCTGGTTAGCGCCATTTTAAATGCTTTGAATTGTTGTTGGAGGTTAACAAATGACATTTGAAGCAGAATATGACAATATGAGATTACAAGATGAGAATGCATGACAATGAGGCGTATTGCATAACGATGCAATTATAACAATTGAAATGAATAGTGTAAGGTATGCACACATTTCCCCCCCCCCCCCCTCCATAAAAAAAATGCATCATTAGACATTTTTGCCCCCCCCCCCCCCCTTCCACTTCCTACATGGCAATATGATGGCACCCACTCCAATACACATTTAAAACTTGTTTAATTGAAGCAACGCTTGGTAAATGTCTTGTACACAGAAATTAGTGTTGTCCTTGCCCAGGGATTTTTTTTTTGTTCTAAAAGAGCATTGGTTGTAATCGTAGGTAGTTACCAGGGAGGCATTTACAAGGAATATTGCTATTTTCAGACAAATAAAGTACATTGTAGTCATTTAAAGCTCTAAAATTTATTTCTTGACACTTCTTGGAAGCCTTTTCATTTGCAGCAACATGTTTTTAGTGACAACTCGATACATTAACAAAAACTTTATACAAATCACCATTAAGATTGCATCTGTCATGTCATAATGTATTACATATGGATTGAAAAGTTCCGATTTGTTTCATATTGTATACGTTTCTCTTCAGGGAATCCTCGGTTCTGGATTTGCCTTAAAAGTTCAACAGAAGCAGAGACAGAAACATTTTAATCGTCAGATTCCGACGGCAGCATCGCTCATACAGGTATCAATAATTTTGTTCCTGACCTTGCTATATTTGTGTTATGGATCTGCCCTGCTTTGAATTTGGATCAGTCCATTAGTAATGTGAGGGAATTTGATTTTTAAAGTTTTGTTTTTATCAATAAAGAATGTTATTTGTCTAAATGAATGCTACGGCATGGCCGAGTGGTCAACAAGTTGAAAAAGTAATGTAATGACTGCTAGTCCAACGGGTTCAAACACTGTCGGGGGCAAGTTATTGTAATCTTGAGCACTCATTGCTCAGTATCATAGGATTTGTAACTCGGCTCCCTGATTTGATCCCAGGACTAGGTGACATTTCTTGGTGACAATAGATCTTTGACATACTAACTAATGCTCATTTTTCTCTCACTGCTGATTCAGAAAATCATGTTTGGTTAGTAGTTGATCACTTATGGGCAATTGTTAATTACTGGCCAGTTATCCATTAAAGCTGGTATGGTGAACCAGCTGCGAAATTACTGGTCAGCTGTACAGGAAAGCCTGTTAAGAAGTCAAACAAGTGCGAGATATGATCCAAATTGTGTTAAAATTGGTGTTTACAAATTTATCTCCCAAAGGATGTTGCTTAGCAGAGGTTTTTTCTGTATAAGTTATTGATGCATTATCTAATGTATTAGACATTGTTTATGCGCATCTTTCTTGTTTTGTTTCTTTAAGAAATGAAGCGTAGTGATTTATCATGCATTTCTCCAAATTGCTTAACAGCATAATGAGTTCATGTTATGTATTTTCTTCAGAAATTTGTTGACTTTTTTGGGAGTTTTTTTTTCCGCTAAGATTTAGGCTTAAGGGACAATAATTATTTTCAAGGTATTTTAGAATTCTTTAAAAAATAAATAAAGTGAAAAGAACATGTGATTTAGTAAAGTCTGTTTTGTGATTGGTAGAATTGTAATTTTTTTATGCTTGTGATTGTTTATGTATGAATTTTAAGTCACAGCAACACTGTTAAGGTCATACCTTGACTTTACAGCTTTACTGGTAGAGGAAGACCTCTGAGCTGGCACCACTTCAAGCATTATTTCAGGTATGAACGCCTGAGTAGAATCACTGACTCTTCCGTAAGCTAGCTAGATAGGTTCCTCATATGAACAAAATGCAAAGTCCTTGACAGGATTCAAACCAACAGTTTTAAGCGGCAAGCAATATGAAGTTTGCGACCTTAACCACTGGACCATGTAGCCCCTTATGCTTCTGTTAATGTTGTTTTTCTAGCTGACTTATAAAGTTAATTATCTGTTAAAATAGCAAAAAGCTTAAGCTTTCCTGAATTGGATTTTAAAGATATGATATGTATTAAATGGCTTGATTAGTCTAGTGGAGAAAATGTCTGCCTCTTAAGCCAGGGACGCTGGGTTCAAGCACAGTACTGAGATTACAAGCATGTTGCTTTGTATGGCACTACTGTTGCAGAAACCAGACTTAAGAGTTGTTAAAATTAAACTCTAAAACTTTCATGAAAATATGTGCTAAGAATAAAGTCATTTAGCCTAATGCAACAAAGCGAATGACTTACCTACACAGAATTCTTGTGTGTATAGAACTAAAAAAAGTAGTAGCCAATTTTTTCTCTCGTATTGTTCTTGTGAACAAAAATAGCAAAGCTAATGTTTTAGAGTGCTTTCACTTCTAAGTACAGAGTGCAGTGTTTGTCTGGAAAGCTATTTAAAAGGCTTATTTCATTTTCTGTCTTGTTTTGTCTGATATATTACATTATTTTGATGAAAGAAATTCCATTTTCTGACGAGCCATAGTTCACTCAATAAATCAACTGAAGAGAGATTTTACACTCCTGTGGGCGGATAATTCTGTCATCTAAATGTATGTCATTAAAAAAATTAGACAATCAGGTTACTTCTACAAGAGATTTCTTTTTTCATGTTTCTAGATGTTGATATTAAATCACCTAAATTTTTTTTTGTTGTTGGTTCTTTTATACAACTTTGCCGATACAAACCGTAGTGTGCACGTGACTCAAAATTTTTACAAAAAATTATCTTATTGTCTTATTTTCCTTTCATTTTTTTAAAAACATAAATCAAATCTCCTCGCAACATTTTGATAATCAGCTGCGTGATTATTTTCATACATGAAGTAAAAAAAATTTTTGGGAGGTATAATTTTATAAAAAAATTGATTTTTTAATTTTGACCCGCAGGAAATAATTTTCATGAAAAGTTAAGTAATACCACTGAACATAAGCAGTAGAAAAACGTATCATATGAAATGCAAAGTATGGTTGTTCTATTTCGGATCTGGCTACGATCTTTTTCATATCTTCCCATTTTTTCTCCATTGTGGCAGGAAAAAAAGCATTTATCGAAACCATATCTGTAATAACGTTTGTTGTGTACCTCATTTACTATGATTATATTGAAGAAGTTGGTAATAATAGCAAATTGAATGGCTTAACCATGACTGGAGCAAAACCATGTTGAGTTTTTTTTATAAGAAAAATAAACAAAAAATTAATCCCTTGATGTGATTGAAAGATATTTTTTGTATTAAAGGCTTGGGTGAAATGGACATACACTGTAATTCATATATGAAATAATGAAAAAATATATATCATATCCACTCGAAACTATTGAATTGAAATGATGTGAGATAGAAATGACTTGAGGATTGACTGCAAAACTGAAGTAATTTGTATTAAGTATACAAGGACTTAAAACCGTTTTGCAATCAGCCCTCGAGTTGTATCTGTTTCATACAGATTTCGCCCCTTAAATGCCTGTGTTCTTGATTGTTTTCAAGGCGCTGCTATAATCTATTGTATCAAAGGGTATCAAGAAATACTCATGGGCCATCTATTATTGGCAGAGTATTTTGTTTTCTATTTTGTAAGTATGTAATAGAAAGAGCATCGAAAAACGAGGCTTTCTGATTTGTACGAGGGGAAATAGCCCTCGAGTATAAATCAAATTGCTGAGTGTTTTGATGTTCTTTCTTTTTTGTATCATATGCAGAAAAATAAAAACATGTTCCCTGTTGTTACAATATGAAATCCCAAAAGAAAGTAAGCAATGTACGAGCATCTGAATATGACTTTTCTATCGTTATTCCTTTCCCTGTCTTCACAATAAGTAAACCCCTAAAAAAATATAGCCAATCAACAAGCATACTCCATATTTATCCCCAACAGACAGTGTGGTAACTTTAAAGTGCCATGATTATAACCTATACTGTGTTGGTGCGTTGTAAAACCCAATCAAATCAAATCTAACCAGTTAATTAACGCACTGTGATTGTATGGGTATACAATATAACTCTGACATGTTTTCAATATGATATGATACAATGTATTTTGTTTAATTTTTTGATGCATGTGATATCAAAGTATCTAAATTGAGAGAATGTTATATGGAAATTTCTGATACAATGGGTAACTATGTTTTTTTGTCTGATTTTCTTGAATTATTAATATGCATTAAATAACAGAGATACTTTTTTGGCAAAGCTATATATCTGCAGATATGATTGGAATGTTATGAAAACAACATGATATTACAGTTTTTGAATTTATGTCAATATAATAAATTTTCAGTTTTAGCTTTATGTCTTTTTACATTGTACTTTTCATTTTCAGAGTATATGGCGTTGCCATGCCGCCGACCCTAAGTTTAAATCGGAAGCAACGTGGAGGATTCACTATCATCCTTATCATCATCATCATCATAATCATCACTATCCACACATGTTCAGCTCAAACCCTGGCTCAAACAACGCGCTGAGTCGCATGGCGAGAAGAGCCAGTCTTCTCACTCGTAGATTCTCATCGCAGAAATTACATAATCCAGATACTCCAAATATTGTACAGAATTGCTCAGGTGACTAAATTAATCACAGGCTATAGTGAATATTTAATTCAGATTTTTGAGTTTTATTATGTCTCCATTACTTACAGGGAAGATGGCATATAGATTTGCCATTGTCTGTCCGTCCGTCTCACTGTAATGCTGTTCTTCTTTTAGCTGACTGTCCATAGACTAACAGTGGAATGTACGGGCATCCATGTCATGTGGACACATTTTTAGTACATAGCTGATTTTGCAACTAAGTTCATCTTTTGAAATTTTTTATATTCAGTGAACACGGTTGTGAACCTTTGTGTCCATAGACATTTAATACTAAATTTGGAACTAATTGACCCACATGGCTATTTTTTGAATTCCTACTTTTGGTTAAATGATCACATGTAAAGAAACTATCTGTAGCCTTAAACTACCATATCTGTGGAGGATAGAAATGCTTGTCAAGTTTATGTTCCAAAGGAAGTCAATGGCACAACAATGAGCTTAAAAATAGCTTCTTCCACCAACAGTGTCAAATTTCATTTAAAGACTTTAAACTACATAATTAATAGAAAGAGCATCGAAACATGAAGCTCTCCGAGTTGTATGTAGCACCCAAGTATCAATCAGATTGCTGAGTGTTTTGATGTTCTTTCTCTTTTCTATCATAGTCAAATATAAAAACATGTTCCCTGTTGTCACAATATGAAACCCCTGAAAAAAGTAACCAATGAACGTGCATCTGAATACAATATTTCTATCGCTTTCCCTTTCTCTGCCCTCACAATAAGTAAACCCCAGCAAAAATGAGCCAATCAATGGGCATGCTTTGGACTACGGGTAACTTTCAACAGGAAGGTCCCCAAACTATGATACAATTATAATTATAGCATTTATGCAGTTGTTACTTAAACTAAAAGTCAATGACTTATATTTGTATTTTTCACTTCTTGCAGATGTAAATAGTCAGTATCAACATCCAGTACAGGACACATCTATAGATGATGATTTTGGTTATCACATGGTCTCTAGACCTGAACAGTAAGATATCTTATACACTTTTGTAATGTATTTCAAAACATCTACCATTGTATCTTCTTTCTTTAAACTATTAAAGGGACTCCACTGAAGATTTTTGATATGATGGGACTTGAAATATTTTTCCAAGATTTATATACAGTTTGATATAGGTCTGGAGCATTGATAGCTTGTATGCAAATTTAAAGATAATTCTGTCATACCTGATCTCCTGAAGAATCATTTATATGGTTCAAAATGGTAAAGCATCTCAATTAATGCTTTTCACTCCAATCAGGTTAAGAATCTCACACAAAAATAGATATTCAATTGTATTCTGTGTATATTTTAATATTTTTTTCAGATTTTTGGAATTTTTAGTGTTTCACTTTATCTATGTAAAAATTTCATAGTTCATGATTTAAGGCTTCTTTCTTTTAACTGAGTGGAGCTTCTTTAATACAGATGATATTGATTGAGTGTAGTTTAAAACTTAATTTATTGAACAAGTCGAAGAAACTCATATCATGCGAGCATGGTATTGTTCAAGTCAATGAGTTCAATAAAGTTAGTATTGAACCTACACGAATATGATATTCTACCTATCACATATTCAAAATAAGAGAATGCGATACAGTTTAAAAGAGTCATTTTTCATCGACGCACCTATAGTGTAATGCTAACATGAGTGCGCTTAAATAACACTATGTTTGTATATAATGCAAATGACGTCACGTCAAAGTATTATTACACCAGTGTTATATCGTTTTTATAAATGGCTTTATTACATGACACTCTTGTACCATAGGCTATGTGATAAAATATCGTATTAGTACGATTTGATTATACTAGTTAACACTTGAGAAGGACCTAAAAATATAAAGTGATATGGCTTCATTGGGTATTGATATAACTTCACTCTCACATATTTTCATACCATCACATTAATTAAGCCATTCCCTTCTCAAGAATTATGTACATCCCGCTAAATTTCTTAAATGGACTTGTCCATTTTTCAATCTGTACAAAACCATTTGTCACTTTAAGGGAAAATTTCATCAAAATTTTTGAAATATTCTCAACATAACATAATACATAATATTAAGTAAGTAAGAACGTAAATATTTTATTATGGTGACATTTGTTTGTTTGTTTGTTTGGGTTTTACGTCACACCGACACGGTATAGGTCATTTGGCGACGTTTCCAGCTTTACTGGTGGAGGAAGACCTCAGATGCCCGTCCGTGCATTATTTCAGGCACGAACGGGCATCTGAGTAGAACCACCGACGTTCCGTAAGCTAGCTGGAAAGCTTCCTCACATGAAAAATCCAAAGTCCCTGTCGGGATTCGAACCCACAGTGGTGAGGGGCAAGTGGTTTGAAGTCAACGACCTTATGCTGACATGTGTTTGACAATTTACAAATAACTAAATAAATAATTTAACATTACACCAATAAGCCACCTTAAACATATATACATTAATAATATTCACATGGAATTATTATTATACGTATATACATCATCAATATTGCTGTATAAATAATCGTGTATGATACATAACAATGTACATATCTACATTGACTTGAATTTACATTAAAATTTGAATCTTAAGATGTTCGGGAAATAAATGTAAGTCATTTCAATAGAAAAAATATTTTATAGTCTTTTGTTTGTGGCAGAAAGTGAAAAATGTTATTCTATACTCATGTTTACAAACTGTAACCATGGAAAATTCATGGCATTTTGAAAGTTTATGATGTTAAAACATCACACCTAGTTTCTGTAATGTTGATTTATTTTTATGTTGCTATGCCCACAAACTTTCATTATTTCTCAGTTTCTACACCAAAACTGCCACTTGGACCTCCTACCAAGTGTGAAAGCATTGATTTTCATATTTGTTTATATGGTTCTTCATATTTCATCTATATTGTTACAGATATACATGTATATTTTTATCTCTTTTTGCTGAATTAACAAAATAGTAACTTGTAGAATTTCTGCATACAGATATTAGATTTTATTTTGGTATAGGTACAGTCAAACGTCTATTAAGAGGACCGTGCAAGGGAAACATCAAAAATGGTCGCTTAGTGAAATGGTCTTTTAAGACAAAGCATGATAAAAAAGTCAAAATTTATACATGACATCTTTCTTTTTTGGCAGGAATGTTTTTCAATTCATTTATATAAATGTTTAATAATTAGAATGCTCCGATAATTTAAATAAAATAGATGCTAAAATTAAAAATTAACTTTCTGATATATATTGACAAAAACATACGTGTTTGACATTTTTCCAGAATTTTTAAACTTCTCTGTTGCTTCTCCTTGTCTCCAACACGAAAACCCTAATAAGTGTAATTATACCCCCGCACAACAAAGTTGTAAGGGGGGTATACTGGAATCAGCTTGTCCGTCCGTCCGGCCGTCCGGCCGTCCGTCGGTTTTTTCATGTCCGCCCAATAACTTAAGATTCCTTTGACCCTTAGTCTTCATATTTGGCATGGAGGTTAGTCATGATTAGTAGATGACCCCTATTGATTTTGAGGTCAAAGGTCAAGGTCACAGGGGCCTTGACTTCAAAAAGCTTGTCCGCCCAATAACTTAAGATTCCTTTGACCTACAGTCGTCATATTTGGCATGGAGGTTAGTCATGATTAGTAGATGACCCCTATTGATTTTGAGGTCACCAGGTCAAAGGTCAAGGTCACAGGGGCCTTGACTTCAAAAAGCTTGTCCGCCCAATAACTTAAGATTCCTTTGACCTACAGTCGTCATATTTGGCATGGAGGTGAGTCATGATAAGTAGATGACCCCTATTGATTTTGAGGTCACCAGGTCAAAGGTCAAGGTCACAGGGACTTTGACTTCAAAAAGTTTGTCCGTCCAATAACTTAAGATTCCTATGACCCACAGTCGTCATATTTGGAATGGAGGTTAGTCATGATTAGTAGATGACCCCTTTTGATTTTGAGGTCACTGGATCAAAGGTCAAGGTCATAGGGACTTTGACTTCAAAAAGTTTGTCCACCCATTAACTTAAGATTCCTTTGACCCACAGTCTTCATATTTGGCATGGATGTTGATCATGACTATAAGGTGACCCCTATTGATTTTGAGGTCACTGGGTCAAAGTTCAAGGTCACAGGGACCTTGACAAAAAAAGCTTTTCTTCTCAATTGCTAAAGAATGTCCTGTCTGCAATGTATTGATTTTGACATTTTCACATTTGAAGCATGTAGAATACATAACTTAGCAATGCACTGGCTTAGTAACCTCAGATTTGGCAGGGAGGTTGTCCTTGCGCTCTAAATGGCCACTGTTGATTCTGACAAAGTGGTATGCGGGGGTATTCACGCCAAGATAGTGGCAGTTCTAGTGTTTTCTGTTGTGCATTTTTTATTTGAAATCAACAAACTACATATTATTGTTACGATTAATTTAATTGCTGATCAAGTTTAAGGTCAAGGTTAATTCAATGCAGTAAATATCAACAGTGAAGCGTATACACCGTCTCAGTAGAGGCGGTGGGTTGCTTGTTCTAACGATATTATTTGATATATTATACACGTCGCGCGTATATTTAACTTCATTTGCATACGCTAAAAACAGTTTGGGAAATAAGAGTTTTTCACACATTTATATATTGTGTTTTGATTGTTGACACTTATGACATCACAAAGCCACACTCTGAAAAAACAGGAACACTTGACAGGTAAAAGTGGTCGTTTAATGAAAAGATTGATCTCAATTTGGTGACTAATTATTGGTCGCTGGTCGCATTGAGGAAAAGTCGCTTAATACATTAAAGATATAGAGAGAAAATGATCGGGTGAATTTAAAGTGGTCGCATAAGACAAAAGTCGCTTAATACGCGTGGTCGCATGGGCAAGTTAGACTGTAACTATTGCAGTACCATCCCTAATATGTACTTTCTCTTTTTTTGTGACTTATCGATTCAGGCTCTATACTGTTTATAGCGTAATTTTTGGATTTTGTTATTGAAATTCCTTTAAATTGTAATGTACTCTTCCAAGTTCAAAGAAACGCAATCTATTACTAAAATTCAGAAGGTTCATAAAGGTTAACTTTTGATCCTGAATTCCCTAAAATTAACAATGAACAAAATTCAAAAACATGCATCCGCCTAATGGCTAAGGGATTGCGTGATTGTCAGAGGCGACTTAAATAAATGGGTTCGAATTACTAGAGTCTATGTTATAATCTCTAAGCTGCAGCAGATGAGATGGTTTTGATCCCTGGTGTTGCTTTAAGTTTGTAACACTCTAGGTAAGCCAATATCATCTTTCCTGTCTAAACTGTGTTAGTTCTACGGGAAACCAAACAAATCAAAACCAACAAAAACATGCATGATGAGCTCATATCGTATCACTGGTTGGGAAATAGTGAACAAAGGCTTAAACTGTCGACTTTGAAGGTTTTTCACTCAACACTATCGTAGGTCGGTGAAATTAATTAACATGATAGTACAGTGTTGCATTAAACTCCTATTTTATACATTATTTACTTGAAAATTTTGAACACGGCATTTAGAATATGAATTATTAATAAAAGTAGTCCCTCTGTCTGGAGATAAAAATCACAGTACTCAAGTTCTCAAATTGGATATTGTAAACAGAGACGAATACCAATATTTGTTGAAAATGGTTTTATAAATAAGTTATAAGTAACAGGTTGTATTCATTGTTTGGAACTATTTCGCTTGGCTGACTTTATGAATGTTTTAACTTTTATTGATTATCTCTGTTCTTTGAATGTTAGCAACAATTAGAACTTGCCTTTACCAACAGTTACATAGGATTGGGTCACGTTGTAAATCATTGCAGTCTGATACATAACACTGAGGAATGAACTCCAAACTAAATTTTCTGTTCGGATACTGCAGCAAAACTCAAAATCAGTTTTTGGAGAGTTGCTATCATAAAATCCTGCCCTTTTCTCGGTAACACTGGTTAATACGAGGGGAAGTGAACCATGACGTAGACCTATGTTTTAGGTACTGTGTGTAACATCAGATATCAAAGCCGCCCTGGTCTTATAATTTCTTTCCAGCAAGCAATTTTTTCAGTTCTGGAAACAAATAAAAGTCACAGGGGGCGAGGTCTGGGCTATAAGGAGGGTGAGACAACAATTGCCATTTGTAAGAGTTGATAACCTCCACTGTAGCTGCGGCGGTATGGGAGGGGGCGTTATCGTGAAGAAGGAGGACATTTTTCTGTGCTAACCTGGGACGCATTTGCTTCAGCTTTTCTCTGAGATTTTTCAGAATTACTTCAGAATAGTACTTGGCGGTGACAGTTTGACCTTTTGGCATGAAATGAGTAAGTATCATTCCTCGTGAATCCCAAAAGGCAACAAGCATGACTTTGCCAGCCGAAGGAGACAGCTTAAACTTTTTAGGAGGTGGGGAACCAGCTCGTTTCCACTGCTTTGACTGAGCTTTTGTCTCAGGTTCGGAATAATGAACCCACATCTCATCTCCAGTGATAATGCGGTTCAAAAACTTATCTCCTTCACGATTAAAACGACTTAAATGTTCTTTTGCATTGGTTACTCTGGTTGCCTTTTGATCTGCGGACAGCTGTCTAGGCACCCACCTGGCACTTACCTTGCTCATGCCTAGGTGTTCGTGTAAAATCTTGTGTGCCGATGCCTTACCGATGCTAAACTTGTTGGCTACCTCCTCCAAAGTTACTTGACGATTTTTGTTGACAAAAGCTTTAACATTTGCTACCATTGTTGGGGTCACCGCCTCAGGTGGCCGCCCAGTCCTAGGCCTGTCACAAACACTTGTTCTGCCTTCACGAAACTGAGAAACCCAGTTGTAGAAGGTTGAACGTGATACACATTTATCAGAAAATCTTTTTTTAAGCCTCTGAAAGATGTGGCAGGGCTTTTCACCTTCTGCAACCAGAAACTTTATTACAGAGCGTTGTTCCTCTAACAAAGAGTCCATGATAGACGAAACACCTATCATATATCAGAGGGCAAAATACTGTGTATACACAACTATCATTGAAAATAAACTGACCACGTTATTGGCGAATGAATGTAGTTTTCACCAATATATAATGTGTGTATATAGCTGCACGTGGAAAGAGAGGAGCATGAAAAGTCCGGATATTTTCTGACCGTCCCTCGTACATACATCTTTTAACTCTTACCACAGTAGAAATCTTAGACTTGTCTTTCAGTCTGGGCTAGACCATTTATCCATTTTAGAGACACTTTTAGGGAAATTTCAAATGTCCGATGTTCTATGCCGTCTGATGTTGGTTTACATTGGTCACACAAGTATTATATTCTTGCATTATCAGACAGGATTATCTACCATTTATACAGGTGCTAGAAAACCTGTCTGTCATCCCCAGTGTAAGAAAGTTGCGTGATGTAAATGACCTCATTCCTGCGCGTCTTATATGAATGAATTGCATTCTTAGAATAACATCATTTCACCGTTATGATTGATATGTTATATGCAAGAAAAAGAATCTAACACCGGCTGTCGTAACAGACCTGAATATCTAGCTCTCGGCAGAGCCTTGTTACCACTCGTGCTAGATATTCCAGTCTGTACCGGCAGACAGTGTAAAATCTTTATAAACCATTGCTGCCAGCAGACTGAAGTTTATTGAACAATACAACTATACAGTAATTTTTTCTTGTCTCTTTTTTCAGTCTCACAGAATCTCATAAAGTTATGATACGTGTAATAAGAAAAATAAAATTCTTTGTGGCGAGAAGAAAATTTCAGCAAGCCCGTAAACCATACGATGTACGGGATGTGATAGAACAGTATTCTCAGGGTCATTTGAACATGATGGTTAGAATTAAAGAGCTACAACGAAGGTAAGAAAAAAACAACATATGAGCCGCGCCATGACAAAACCAACATAATGGGTTTGCGACCAGCATGGATCCAGACCAGCCTGTGCATCCGCGCAGTCTGATCAGGATCCATGTTGTTCGCTTACCAACCCTATTACAAGTAGGAAAACTGATAGCGAACAGCATGGATCCTGATCAGACTGGGCAGATGCGCAGGCTGGTCTGGATCCATGCTGGTCTCAAACCCATTTTGTTGGTTTTGTCATGACGCGGCTCATATGACTAAATTATTACATTATAACAACGTGCTGTAAAACCTGTTATAATATAACATTGAACTTAATGAACAAGCATTCTGGCTGCACGAACATGTCCTTACAATAAATTTCCAAAACTTCTTAAATTTTGATATTTCGTGAACTTTTTTATGTGCGAAAATATTCACTTTTACAATATTTTATATGATGCATGAATAATTTACATAAAATTTAAAACCATTGATGCAAGAATAGTGTTAAAATATTGATAATGAATGAAAATCTGTTTGTTTATTATTTTGTAAAGATAACTGAAAAAAAAAAACAACAAATTTATCTTTTTTGCTTTTCAAGGTTAGATCAAACGTTAGGAAAGCCGAGTTACCTAGGTAACATGAAAGACAAAGATAGAATGACACTTTCTTCCAGGGTAGCATCTATAGAACATCAGGTAACAAGATTGTCATTAAATCATCGCACCTTTACCCCTTGTTTAACACCTCCCGGGCCTTTCACTAAGGTTCTCAAAGTCATAATCTAAAAGCTTAAATCTGAGATTTTTCTCAATGCAGAAACTGAGATTGAGATTTTTTCAGTTTGAGAAAGTTTAGTGAAAGCCGGGTCAGGACCTAAACCATAATACTCAGCCTTCCTTCAATGAATATAATTATGGACCCTTTTCCTTGTTTTGATGATCCCTGACTGAGAGAAGTGAGCCCGGGTCGAGTGGTTAAGGTCGTTGACTTCAAATCACATGCCGATCACCACTGCTTGTTCGAATCCTGCAAGGAGCTTTGGAATGTTTCAAGTAAGAAGCTATCATGCTAGCTTATGGAACATTGGTGGTTCTACTCACATGCCTGTTTGTACCTGAAATAAAGGAAGGAGGGGCACCTGAGGTCTTACCCTACAAGTAAAGCTGGAGGATTGTCAAATTACTTTTACTGTGTTGGTTTGACTAAAAACAAACAGAGGCATAGGCCTTTCATTTCTAATCTACCTCGAACATTTTTTTTTCTGAAAAGTTTTATCTGCAGCGTCTGTGACTGAGTGATAATGGTTGCTGTTTTCCAGTCATTTGTTCCCCATTATTTCGGGTTCAAAGTTCACTAGTCACATCATATATTATCATTGAAGAAGCTATCCAGTCTATTGAAGGTTGGATGACCTTTTACCCGGCTACTCGGGTGTGTGCTTGTGCCTAAAAAAGTGAAAAGGTGAGCAATTGAGGTTGTGCTCCATCAGTTAAGCTGAAAAGTCACCATATATATTAACAGTGACTTTTTAAACACATGAAAAGCTCCATCATGGTATATTGTAAAGTTCAAAGCAGTACACTTAATATATTATACTTAGTAATAGTTACATTTTACAGAAACTCAAAATACTGCATCAAAGATATAAAGTTTTGCTCCAAGAGTTTTTTTCGATGGACCATGAAAGTTGCTAGCACCACCATTCTTCCTTCCATCTTTATATATTTGAAATTGTGATAATGATATTTCACTGCCCTTGAACACATTACCAGGGTTATTGGGTCGTGGTCATTATGGCTAAAAATAGATTTACCTATAATTCATGGGAAAGCATCCATTACCAATTTTGAAAAGTACTAAAACAAATCTGTATGCATATGCATATTGTCTCTACAGAATGAACTACCATGTAATAGATGAAATTTAAGAAAAATTTATATTTTGTTTCAGGTATCTAGGTTGGATAAGAAAATGGATCAGACTTTAGTTTTATTAAACATTCTTGTGAAATCTCAGCAACAAAGTGAAAGACCTTTATATGCAAGAAGTTTATCAAGGGAGAGCACTCGTTCTGGAAATAGAGATAATAAAGACAATACAAGACCTCGTAGAACTTCTGAAGGTTTAGACGACAGCGGTAGTTTCGAGTCAAATCAAACTGTTGATCATTCGGAGAAAAGTAAAAAGGCAATAGAAGAAATAATATCTGAAGAGAAAGATGATTCCTAGCAGAGTTGTTTCCCCTGTTAACCTACTATTCCTGGACAATTCTTTGAAAAGTTATCTCCCCTTTTCAGCTTACTTTCCGATGAATGTTCCCTTTTAAAGGGAGTTAAGCCATGGAAATGTTGAGGAGAAAATTGCCAAATTCAGTGCAATTTCATATTTGTGTAACCTGTTGTCTAAACAATTTGTAGGTTATACTTACATGAACTTTTTTTACTCATTTTAATCAGGTTTCATGATAACTGTATTGTGATTTTTTTAAGCACTTGTGTACAGTTTTAGCTCCACTTTTCAAAGAAAAAAATCAGAGGTTTTTACTTCAAATTTGAAATACTTGTTAAGTATAAAGAGCAAATAATTCTGCCAATCAGTTTTAAAGAATTATGCCCCCCCCTTGTTTACTTTTACAATACAATCTAGCATTGAGAAAAGTGCAGCGGCGTGCTCATCATTGAGCTCTTGTTTAAAGATATTTTTTACAAAAGGTTGTTGAATAAAATAAAAATTGGTTTTGAACTATAATAAAATTTCCTTTAATTTAATAAAGGCGTTTTATTTTTTATTCACTGTTGGATTTTTTACAATTTTTATAAAGTGTCAATTTTATTTTTAATTAATGATTGGTATTTAATATATTGACTTGTATTGGATGATTATCATTCAATATCAAAATAAAAATGAGAAGTGTCCAGTGCTTTTGGGGTCATGTGGAAAACATTTGAACCGCGTCACGACAAAACTATCATAGTGCGTTTGCGACCTGCATGGATCCAGACCAGTCTGCTCATCCGCGCAGTCTGATCAGGCTCCATGCTGTTCGCTATCAGTTTCTCTATTTGTAATAGAGTTTGAAATCGAACAGCATGGATCCTGATCAGACTGCACGGATGCGCAGGCTGGTCTGGATCCATGCTGGTCGCAAACCCATTGAGTTGGTTTTGTCATGATGTGGCTCATTTATTAACCCTTATATTTCTAAATATATTTAATGGACTTGTCTGTCTTTCAATTTAGACAAAACCATTCATCATTTTTACTGAAAATTGTAAAATATGTGTACTGACTGAAAAGTGAACAGTGCAGACCATGATCAGATGGCACAAATGTCAACAGATCTTGGTTTGTACTAGTCACTTAGGCAGATTCAGTCACTGCCAATTTGCTAAGTGTAAGTTCGCCTATACAGGCAAACTTTGTTCCCTTGAACTCAGAGGGCCTGTGCAAATGGGGGGGGGGGGTATTCGAGTGAAAACGAAGTTTAACTGTATTTCAAGTTTTACAACAATACTGTTTTGTTAGTAATGATGGTGTTCAATTTATAAAGTTAATGACCTCATTAGGCCAGTATCTTTTCTTTATCCACATTAACCAAAATCACTAGATACAACTCATATAGTTACATGTATATACCGTATATAAATTAATTTTTACAAATCGTTTTAAGGATAAATTTTACTGCAAATTTTATGTAGCAGATTTAGTATTTTATATACATGCATATTTTTATTTATACTTAAGAAATTTTCCTGATAACTTATTAAATACATACCATATTTACCCTGTTAAACATTCCATTTTCTTCATATGAAATTTTATAAAGTGAAACAAAGGATCAATTATTTCGGAGTCTACCAACGTTGTTGTTTTTTTTATAGTTTATTTCGCAAATAAAATAAAAATTTTATACCCTGTTTCAAGATATCAATATATCTAAGGAAACATTTTGTGCCTGATTTATTAAAAATAAGATTTTTGTACTTTCCTGATTTTGGTATGGTAAATTCATGAAATTTATTACAAGTGGGGCATTTACAAGCAAGGGGTTGTACAGTTATTAGAATTTTATTTTAATGCACAATTTTAATATTATATGAAATTACATGCTCAGTTTTTAAATGCTCATTTTGTAAATATACCAATCTATGTGCCGTGTCATGACAAAACCAACATAGTGGGTTTGCGACCAGCATGGATCCAGACCAGCCTGCGCATCCTCGCAGTCTGATCAGGATTCATGCTGTTCGCTATCAGTTTCTCTACTTGTAAAAGGGTTTTTCAGTGAACAGCATGGATCCTGATCAGACTGAGCAGATGCGCAGGCTGGTCTGGATCCATGCTGGTCGCAAACCCATTATGTTGGTTTTGTCGTGACGCGGCTCCTATGTGTTTTAAGATATTACAGATATTTTCTTTACATACATGCATCTTATCATATATTTTATTTTCTTGTGTATAGGCTTTTCATTTTCATTTAGAAGTGATCTATTTTAAGCCTAGTTTAAGCTTAATTACAATGTAATTAGTGTAATTTTTTTCTTTCCTTATTAGGCACGTTACCTTTTATTACAGTTTTCATGATGAAAGGTAGGCGGTTTATTATAGAAATATTGGGATTTCTTTTTTGAAAGTAACTAGAATATAGAAAGTCAAGATAAGCTTTTAATTAGGATAGATCTTGTATTACCAATCTACTTAAAACATCTTCTCCTGTACACAGTTACTAAAACACGAAATCATAAAGAGGGGCACCTGAGGTCTTTCTCCTTCAGTAAAGCTTGAAAGTTGCCATATGACCTATACTGTGTTGGTGTGACGTAAAACCCAACCAAAAAAAAATATAAAAAATCAAGGTCTGGGCTACTTAAAACATCTTCTTTTCCATACACAATTACTAAAACACAAGATCTGGGGCAATTTTTTAGAATAACTCCTATAAAACCTATTTCAAAGTCAAAATATAGCTAACAGTTAGAAAACTATGACCTGCTCCTTAGGATTTTTTTTTATTTTTTTAACAGACCCTTTTAAGGGCTAAATATAACCAACGGTAGGAACTCTCCTGACCAACTTCTTCTGAATGAATGAATAGACAGATCTTTGTCAAACTTAGTATGTAGCATTGTTTTAGGAAAGTGTACTATAGAGCTGGTTGGCCAATTCTACTGACCTCCACAGATTTTGTATTAACCTTCCTTGTATCGTTAGAATTCATTCAGCATCTCTTTTTCAGGGACCACAAAGGCCAGTAATTGATGAAAATAATCTTAGATAACAACTTTGTCTCATAAACTTTTAGTTACATCATCATCAAACTTTGTAGAGAAATAAAGGGCAATATTTTAGGGTTGAACATAAACTGCTTTTGCCCCTGATAGGAAGCAAAAATAGAAAACAGTAACAAACTTTTGGATGATTTTTCATGAATATATGGATTGATCACCTAAAATGGCTTACCATCCTTTGACAGTCATCATTTACACTCATTAAGCTTTTTTTTAAACAGCCACCAAATTTTATAAGCAATCTCGAAATTCCTGCAGGAGTTATGCTCCTTCACATGGTACTTAAAAGAATATACTAATCATCTCAAAATTTCTGCAGGAGCTATGCCCCGTTACATGGTACTTAAAAGAATATGGTAACCATCTCGGAATTCCTGCAGGAGTTACCCCCCTACCATCTAGAAATTCCAGCAGGAGTTATGCCCCTTTACATGGTACTTAAAGGAATGTACTTAAAATGGAATTACTTAATTCTAAAGATAGGTTTTGTTATTTCATTTCTAAGTTACCTTTTATTGTGCCCCCACTTTAGTGGCGGGCATTTAGATTTACCCTTGTCCGTCCGTCCGTCCGTCTGTCCGTCCGTCCTTCCGTCCGTCCGTCCGTCCGTTCACTTTTGTGTCGCACGTAACTCAAAAAGTATTTGACCTAGAGTCATGAAACTTTACAGGAATGTTGATCAGCATGTGAAGTTGTGCACCTGGGTATTTTCGTCTGGATATTTTTAGTATTTTCAGAGTTATTGCCCTTGACTTAGTAAAATTTTGCAATTTTCAACTTGTGTCGCATGTAACTCAAAAAGTATTTGACCTAGAGTCATGAAACTTAACCGGAATGTTGATCAGCATATGTAGTTGTGCACCTGGGTATTTTTGTGTGGATATTTTTAGTATTTTCAGAGTTATTACCCTTGACTTAGTAAAATTTTGCAATTTTCAACTTGTGTCGCATGTAACTCAAAAAGTATTTGACCTAGAGTCATGAAACTTTACAGGAATGTTGATCAGCATGTGTAGTTGTGCACCTGGGTATTTTTGTGTGGATATTATTAGTATTTTCAGAGTTATTGCCCTTGACTTAGTAAAATTTTGCAATTTTCAACTTGTGTGGCACGTAACTCAAAAAGTATTTGACTTAGAGTCATGAAACTTTACAGGAATGTTGATCAGCATGTGTAGTTGTGCACCTGGGTATTTTCGTCTGGATGTTTTTTGTATTTTTAGAGTTATTGCCCTTTACTTAGTAAAATTTTGCAATTTTCAACATGTGTCGCACGTAACTCAAAAAGTATTTGACCTAGAGTCATGAAACTTTATAGGAATGTTGATCAGCATGTGCAGTTGTGCACCAGGTATTTTCGTCTGGATTTATTTAGTATTTTTAGAGCTATTGCCCTTCACTTAGAAAATTTTTGCAATTTTCAACTTGTGTCGCAAGTTACTCAAAAAGGATTTGACATATTCATTAAACCTTACGGGCAGATTGCTCAGCATATTTAGATTTGCACCTGGGGTTTCGCTTGTGGATTTATCCAGTATTTGTAGAGTTATTTCCCTTGACTTAGTAAAAAGATTGACAGAACAGTGGCGCGGTGGGGGCACCCGTGTCCTATGGACACATTTCTAGTTTTTTGTTATGAGAAACATTATTATGTAAAATGTATATAAGAATTTAAGTGAGATATGTGATTACGTATTTTGTGATTTTTCCCCCCTTTTAAGCAATATTTTCTATGCAGAGATGTTAATTGTCACATGCAATATTTGTGTTTTAACTATTGTAGATATTATATCCAAGAAAACAGTATTTCATAGAAGTGTAAAATAGCAAAGCATGTTAATAAAATAGAGTTGTTGTCAAGATTTAGTTTTTAGGGAGAAATATTTACCTTTCTTACATTTTAATGTGAATTTTAAAGGCACACTATGCCTCAGAAATGAATATATTTTTACTTCTCTAGAAAAGGCATATATGAGTTTTATAATGTTTTACTAATTATTTTAGAAAATGTCAGATGCTTATTTTTCTTTAAGAAGTAGTGCTGAATGTGAAATAATTTGACATAAAAGTACCAAAATGTAAACAAAGTAGTATTTGACTTCCATACTTAATATTAAATCACTATAACTGTACTTTAAAGAAATTAAACGATTAAGAGTTGAATATAATACATCAGTGAAGAAATGTATTGGGAGTATAGTCTTTGACTTATGTTGAGTATAAATCTATCAGAGTAAAAAGGTTATAGTTGTGATCAATTTGACAATTTTGATGTTATGATATTATGATTCGGTGTTATATGGTATATTTAGATAGTCTAACTCAGTTTATTACCTCGGTAGATATGAGAAGCTTGTATGTTCTACACCTACTCAATATATATTATAAAATCTAGTTCAACTGTACTTTAGATAGATATAGAAAAATAAGATATACATGTATGTTTTGGCTACCTATTTTAGTAACTGTTACTTAGCTTGCTGAGCAGAATCTTAATAATCTTTGCAAAAAACACTTGGTACCAGGCCAGATGCTGAATACTTTAGTGTCTGCCAGGTACCAGTCCAGATGCTGAGTACCACAGTGCTTGTCTGAAACACCAAGTACTTTACTGTCTGCAAGGTACCAGTCCTAACGCTGAGTATGTTAGTGCCTGTCAGATTCTAGACCAGAGGCTGGGTACCAGGCCGGACGCCAAGTACCACAGTGCTTGCCAGGTACCAGGCTGGATGCCAAGTAACACAGTGCTTGTCAGGTACCAGGCAGGACGCTGAGTACCACAGTGCTCGTCAGGAATGCTTGTCAAGGCCTGACACCCAGTAGGTCAGTGCTTGTTTGGTATCAAGTTATTTGACAGTTGTGCTTAAAAATTATTGCTTTCGATTAAAAAAAAATAGATATAAGCATACAACATTTAAGCAGACGTCAATTTTTCCAGAACGCAAAGTTTCAGCATCATTTACTTATATATTTAAATCTTTCTCATTGTTATCTGGAAGACTAAATAGACTTTTTATCTTTTTTCTGATAATAGTACTTTTATAACAGAAATTTTACCATAAAGT